TTTCAAATCTTTCAAATCTCTGCCTTCTACTTTCTTTCCCTTCACCAATTCTCAAATTAACGCCCATGGTCTCAACCGCGGTCTCAGATTAGGAATTCACGGGTTCAGGAACGGCCCCGGTTGCTCAAGCCGCTCTGCAAACTGTCGCGCATTTGAACCACCTTGTGAACCACCAGCTGTGCAACAGGCGACTTCGGAGACGTGGGTGAGAGTACGAGAGGAGTGCTTTCCAGAGAGGTGGCAGGTCACGACCAGCTGCCAGAAGTTCCACATTCGTTCCAGCAAAAGTGCCAGGGCAAAGCCCTTGGTTTATCTGCCCCCTCTTCAAGGTGGCGGGGGGTGGGGTGGCTGGCTTCGGAGTCTGGTGCCCAGGGCGGTGGGATCGGGAACATTTTTCTCCTGCCCCCGAGTTCTTGGCAGGCCTCAGGGACCCGCTGTGGCACTGCCCAGCCCTCCCTGATGGCGTGGCAAGGGAATCCTTGGCTTGATGGAAGAGACTCGCCAGGCAGGCAGGTGCCAGAGAGTGGAGTCCCAGGGGTGGGCCTGGTTCCCCCTCTGCCTTTCCCTCCCCCCCCCAACTCCTGCAGAGCAAGAAGCCTGCCGGCAGCAGCCCCCTGAGCATTTCCCCGGGGCTCTTCCTCCTCCCCTCTGCCCCTCCCTCCTGGTCCCCTTGCCCCCTCCTCCCTCCCCTCCCCTCCCCTCCCCTCCATGAGCTCATGCAATAGATGGCGGTAATGGGAGAGACATCTGTTTTGATTCAAAGGGGGGGCTGGAGCCTTCCAAGAACAAAAGCCTTCCCAGCCCTCACCCCCCCCCCCCCCCCCCCCCCCCNCCCCCCCCCCACCCCCATTTCAGAGAGAAGAAAAGGCATTCCTCTCCACTGCCCCCAGTCCAGATTTGGGAAGAGGACTCAGCCCAGCACTGCCTCCCTTCCTCTCCACCTCCCGCCCAGCCTCCCTCGCTGATGTTAAAAGAGCTGGGGGAGGGGCCCTGAGGCTGGGGTCCCTGGCACCTCTGGCTTTGTGCCCTTCAGCCCTTCCAAACCAGAGCAGCTCCCGGGTCTCTGCCACGGAGAGCCGGGTCTGTCTGTGCAGTTTGCTGTCGAGAACTGGGTGGTCAGAGCTGAGTGGAGGGAAGGGTCTCTGCGAGGAATGAAGGGGAGGGGGGACTCGCTTGCCCAGACTGCAACTGTCTCTTCCTTCTTCTTGTGGACGTGGGAGAACAGAAGGCAGCAGCACGAGGAAGGGTCCCTTTGTTGACAATACCTGGTCACGTCACAGAGTTGGTCAAAGCCAGGCAGTTTTGAGGCCCACCAATCACCAGGCCAGAGTCTTGGAGAGGCTGGTGCAGGCTGGAGTTCATCTCATCGGATTTCTTAAGGTCAGAGTTTCTCAACAACTTTAAACTGTGTGGACTTCAAGGCCCAGAATTCCTCAGCCAGAATGGGAGTTGGAGTCCCTACACATAAAGCATGCTGGCTGGGAGCTGGACTCGCACAACGTAAAGTTGCTGAGGTTGAGAGATGCTGCTTTAGGTCTTCACAAACCACATTTATGTCCATACCACCTGACCCGCTTCTTTCTTTTTGAAGAATTGATCAAACTTCTTTTGGAGACCAAACCATCATGGCTAAGTCAGAGTTACTCTAATAAAGAATGCTTTTCCAACCTGATTGATCCAGGATTTCATCATACCTGGAGGACACCAGTTGCAGGAAGACGACTTAGAGCGAAGCCAACTCTGGTCTCGACTCCCAGGCCCCAGGCAGAGGAGGGCCCTTCCCAGCCAGGAGACACTAAATGGGCTCCGGCCCCGGATTTGCTGGGCCAGAGTATTGGGACCTCAGTGGGAGCGGGAGGGGGTGAATCCTTAGAAAAACCACGAATCTGGAGCCGGGAGAGCCAGAGGCCAGCAGGAGGCCTGCATTCCCCAATGAGGCAGAGGGGATCCAAGGGATATCTACCCCCACCCCCCAAATGGAGAAGGGTGCCTGGGCTAAAACTACATTTTATTTCATGGACATTTTACAAGTGGACGTCATCCTTTTCCACAGGCTTAGTCGCTTTACTTCTGTCACATTAAACAAAAACAGCAGTTGAAAAAATATGGTTGAGAAACTCCTCCGTGAAGCTAATGGCCATCCCCACAAGGCTGGACATAGCCACAGGGACGGGTCTCTCTCTCTCTCTAGTCCCCGGGATCGTTTCCTCAAGGCTAAGGGGGTTGGGGACCCTCAGGTGACAGGACCAGCCAGGGGCAATCCAGTTTCAAATCACAAGGCCTGGGCAGGCCTACCTGGGGGAAGGTGGGGCAGGCAGACTTTGGGTGTCTGAACAGGCCAGGAAAGGCAAGGGGCCTGCCACAGAAATTGGTGGCTCAGTGCTGTGGCATCATGGAGCACCCTTACCCACTCAGTCCAGAATCCAAAGGGGCCTGGTAGCCCCTTTGCTGACCCAGACGGTTCCTTGGATGAATGTGGGTCAGACTAGGCAACAATCCATCCAAGGAGGTTGGTCTGTTTATTTATTTATTAAACAAATGTATATTCACACACACCCCCAACTCATGCACAGATGACTCTGGACAGCTTAACTAGAACAGAGATTTTGTGGCACCTGAAACCCTTCACCAGTTTTATGAGAGCCTTTTTGGTGGGCCACTGCCTGGTCTGTACCCCAAATGACAAGGAAATGTGTGCCTGGCGACAGGAGTGAGGGTGGCAGAGAGTGGCAAGGCAGAACGGAGGGGTCTAGACGGTGCTAATTACTTTATGAATGCTCTCCATTCACAAAGCAACTGCTGGCTGATAAGTCTCTGATGTTCTGGCTTCCTGTGCTGCTGAGCGATAGGCCTCTCCTAAGATGAATTGAATGGGCATTGCTAGTAAACGGTGGCTCTCTCTTTCTCTCTGTGTTTTTGTGTGTGTGTGTGTGTGAGAGAGAGAGAGATGACCAGGTGTAGAAGCTCCTGGTGTTGAGTGGGATGCCCGGTGTGGACATGGGATAAAATTAGCATCTCTGGGTCCCGAGTGGCTGCACTTTAGACTAACAGAATAACAAATGGTCATAATGTGGAATATCACAAACCTGACTGAGCAGGGACGGTTCTTAAGGAGTTGTTGAACAGAAAGACAGATTTCAGGGTGAAGTGCCTGAACTATCATCAAAAATAACTTGCAATTGGTTTTCTCAGCGGTAGGATCAGTTTTACTTAAAAATTGGCTTCTGGTCCAATGATCTTCATACTTAAAAATGTCCGATGCCTTCCTTAACAAATATACAAGTTTGTCAGACGCCTCCACATTGTTTCCACACCGCCCTGTCGGTAGGTTGCATCGGGTTGCCTGCCAACAGGCTCAGGTCAGCCTTATGGGGACCCTCCAGTATGTAAAACAGGGTCCCCCGGCTCGGCCCCGGGACTCCCGCGCGGGGGCTCTGCAGATCCCTCCCGGGCACAGCCGATGGGCGGAGGGGGCAGCGCCGGCGCTCTTTTCCCCACGCCCTCCCCCCCCTCAGCCCCTTCGCCTCGGGCCCCGCTGGCGGCTCTTCTATCCCAAGAAGGGGCGGCCCGGCGAATCCGCTCCGAGGCGCCTCTCTCGCCCGCCGCCTCCCAGGCCGAGCGCGGGGCGAAGCCGGAGCCAGCCAGCCAGCCGGCCGAAGGCTTCCCGGCCTTTCTCCGCCAGTCGCGCGCGAGCCCTGGGCCGAGCAGGGCACCGCCGCTCCCGGGACGCGGGGGCCGGGCGGGGCCCTGCGCCGAGGCCCGCAACTGGAGCCGCGCTGCCAGCGCGAGGGGCTCCTCGTCCCGCCCTGGGCGGCCTGTCCTTGGGGCTCCGCGGGGAGGGGGTCCCTGCCGGGGAGAGGAGGCTCGGGAGCCCGGAGATGCCCGCAGCCCCGCCTGCCCTCCCGCGGAAGGCTCCGGCTGGCAGGGGGGCAGGGCCGGAGCGCACGCCTGCCCCCTCCCCGCCTTCTGCGGGTCTCTGCCTGCCAGCCCCGCCGGCCCGCCTCGCGCCCGAAGAGGGGGTGTGTGAGCCGCCCTGGAAACTACATCCCCCAGCAGCCTCCGGGCCTCTTCCCGAGTGTCAGCTTCGGGCTGCAGCCAGGGAATTTAAAACAAAAGAAGCTCTCCGGCGTCCCACGCCCGCCCGCCCGCCCCTCTCGCGGCCGGAGCCTTTCGGGTCGGCGGTCCTTGCCGGCTGGCTGGGTAGTTGACTGGCCAAGGCGGGCGGACTCGGGCGCTCCTCGGTTCTGCCCGGTCTCCCCGCCCCTCCGCGCTTCTGCTGCGCGCTCTCGCTCCCCTCTTTCCCGGTCTCCATCTCCACACCCCCTTCGCTGCCAGGCGGGGTCTGGGAGAGCAGCGAGAGCAGAAAGCAGGAAAGGAAAGAAGGAAGAAAAGAAAGAAAAGGAAGGAAGGAAGGAGACGAGAGAGAGAGAAAAGAAAGGAAAGGAAGGAGACGAGTCAGAGAGAAAGGAAAGGAAAGGAAAGGAAAGGAAAGGGAAAGAAAGAAAGAAAGAAAGAAAGAAAGAAAGAAAGAAAGAAAGAAAGAAAGAAAGAAAAAGAAAGCAAGCGGTCGGACGCGCGGAAGAGCTTTGTGCGGCTGGATCCACGTTGGGCAGGAAGATCAGGTTTCAGCGCAGGCAGCACCGGGCGAGGAGGAGAGCCGAGCCGAGCCGAGCCGAGCCGAGCCGCGCCGCCAGAGGCAAAAGGAGCGGGGAGCTGGGGCTCGGCCAGCAGGGAAAGAAGGGAGGTGGGCGGGGGTCTCCGGCTCTTCCCACCCGGCCGCCTCGCTCCCCCTCTTTGTGCCTGCCCCTCCTTCCTCGCAGGCTCTTTGTTCCCCTCCTCCTCCTCCCCCACCGCCCAGCCCCCTCCCCTCCCAGCCCACCAGCGGCAGTAGCAGCAGCAGCAGCAGCAGCAGCCGCCCCAGCGAAAGCAGGAGCAGCCCCATCATCGCCATCCCGCCGCCGCGCCCCCCCACCCCCCTCTCTCCCCAGCCTTTGTTAGCCATGCCTAGCCTGGTAGTGTCAGGGATAATGGAAAGGAACGGGGGCTTCGGGGACCTGGGCTGCTTCCCGGGCAGCAGCAAGGACCGGGCGCTGCTGGAGGACGACCGGGCGCTGCAGCTGGCCCTCGACCAGCTCTGCCTGCTGGGCTTGGGGGAGCCTTCGGCCGCCGCCGCCGCGCCCTCCGCCGCCGCCTCGGCCTTGGGGGGCGGCGGGGCGGTGGACGACAGCAGCGGCGGCCAGCCGCCGCAGCCCCCCCCGCCGCCGCAGCCCCAGCAGCCCGCGCCCCCGCCGCCGCCCCCGCCGCCGCCCCCGCCGGCCTCAGCCCAGCAGCCGCAGCAGCCCCCGCCGCCGCCGGCCCCCAAAGGCTCCTCGGGGGCGGCCATCCCGCCGCCGCCCCCGCCGCCCCCGC